GGGGGCGGGTTGTATCAATGAATCGATATACGCGAATCGATACGGAAGCGAGGCGATTCCTTCGGAATTACGACACCGTGGAGCCCGAAGAGTGACTCATTTGACAAACCCCCACGACTTGCATATGAATACAAATTAAAACATAATAAGACATGTCTTTTTTTCGCGTGTGCCTGCCTAGTAATTGCCGTCATTAATAGCGTGTTCGCCACTTGTGTGTCTAATGAAGCAATCGCGTCGAGTTGCGGTGGAGATGGAACAAAATATTACTCCACAGAATCTTGGCTTGATCACATTGAACGCATCCATCAACATACAGCAGCAGCAGCACCCACAGGAATAGCAGCCGTGGTCAATCCACTGCTCGATGAAATCCTCACCCAATTCGCACCTTCCGTCTCTCACGATGATACCTGCGATGCAACGACCAATCGCGTCATCCTGTGCTTGGATAATCCTTCATCCAGCAGTTGATAGATCATGGGGAATCATCATGATGATGGTGATATATCTCGCACCCGCATAGTGTCAACACGAACGTCGTGAATCATCAGCCATGCTCAATCCACTGCCGGATGGATTTCCCTCCCCCAATCCGCTCCCGCCCGCGAGCCAGTTTCCATTGCTCCATCTCCCCGCTGCACGCCCCACGCACCTCCGATGAGCACGATTGGCTACGTACGGTTGCAAAAGAAGGTCAACATATACACGCACACGCGCCTCTTGGATGCATTACCATTACTTGGGTTGGCACTCCGGTTTTATCCTCAACGGCAGAAGCGAGATGTTAACCACCTCGCCTGGGTATGCAGGAGGCCGTGGGTTCGACCCCGACCCTGACGGTTGTTGTATGTTTGGAGTTTGCGTGTCTCTCTCATCATCATCATCGCAGTGGCTAGGAGATGTTAACCACCTCGCCTGATATACAGGAGGTCGTGGGTTCGACCCCGACCCTGACGCCTGCTCTATATTTGGAATTTGCATGTCTCTCTCTCCCCCCGTGGCCGCGTGGATTTTTCTCCGGGTCCTCCGGCTTTTCCCTCACATTTGGAATCAACGTGCATCTAGAGTATTTGGCTGATATCAATGTCCACGTGATAAGCCACTTCGTTGAGCTGCCATTTGTGGCCAGGTCGCTTCTGAAAAAGAGCCACATAGCTCACTGGGCCTTACCTGGAAAAATAAAGATAGTTTCGCTTCATTTGTATATTTTGAAGTGATTTCTTTACATTTCTCATACTTTGCACTGTTACCCTGTGCTTGTATCGTTTATTGTTGTAACGTTCTTACCCGCCCCTACTGGACATCTGTGACAAAGAGCTTTATAGTTCATCGGATTCCTCCAGTACGGATACAAATTCAGATTCTTCATCCACGGTAGTCTCTGCGTTAATCCCATCAAGCCACGGCACCTGTTTTGCCAGTGTGTAGTGGTGGTAGGAGGTTGGCAGAGGCATTCATCCAGCAGTGGACAGATCATGTATGTGCGATGACCCGTAACGGTGCTGGAAACTGACGACTGCACCGGTTGTTATTATTTAATCTTCATTTGAAGCTTTCGTGACTGCAGGAATCCATACTCTTTGGTTCTTTCGGTAAAGTCACGTGGGTAGAAAATAAAATAAATCAGGACGTTTCGATCGCAACACAAGCGGTCGTCCTCAGGCGGAAAAATATATAATCCAGGAGTGGAACAGCTGACCTTGTTCAGCAGGTTCACTGTTCAGCTGTTCCAAAAGCTAGATTCTATTTTTTTCCACCTGAGGACGACCACTTGTGTTGCGATCGAAACGTCGTGATTTATTTTATTTTACACCTACGTGACTTTACGGCAAGAACCAACGAGTTTGTTATTATTGAGTTTCTCCGTCTTGTCATCTGCGTGTCTCTTACGTGCCTACGTGAAATTGTACATTTTTTCTCCTGTTTATTTGATCGCGCGGAAAATTCCAAGAGTCATCATCGTCTCACCATTTTACTACTTTGGGTTTAGCCTCCACGTATCCGGATTGCTGCCATCGCTACACGCATTGAGCTAGCGCTGGCGCGTCACGGACGTCGACTCAACTCAGGGGAAACATTCCAGTAATCTTAGAAAGAAGTTACATAAATACGCAATTATTCCCCAATCTTAAAACAAAAACACCGCGTTTCTTGGAAATGTAAGAGCACACGCAAAAGACAAAGATGCCCCTTATAGCGTGTAACCATCTGGTGGGGGCAAGTTCTGTTGGCGAGTAGCAACTACGAAGGCCGGCACTGTGGCACACGAGGCGGTGGGTGGCCACCACCACGCCTGACTGCCTCTGTTTTCCACTGTGGTGATGGTTATACAGCACACCAGGTAATTATTTGAGCCTGAGTCGACCTAGGGGAGGCCCAGGGCCGGTTCCGATATTCGTCACTCGTGTTGGTGGTGGGCGTGGGTGGGAATCCAACTTGGGCCCGCCGGGTTCGTAGCGCAGCACGCTAACTGCTGCGCCACCGCTCCCCACAAGGACACACGCACACACAGAAACGAAGATCCCGTGGTCACTCCATGCAATAATAATCCAGCACCACGAGGTCACCCCACCATGCTCACCCCGCCTCCTCACCCCACCATCCTCACCCACACATCACCTCCGCACCTCCACATTCAACTCACCCCCACCCTCCCAGCCTCCTCACAACTCACCTCCATTGCTCAAAGATTCATATTTATGTAGCCGAGTGAGAACCACTCTACGAGACGCCAGACTCGAGGAGAGTTGTCAGCGAGAGTGCCCCCCCCCCAATGTTGTTCTCAAGCTGGCCCCCCAATGTTGTTATCAAGTCATAGACTCAACACTGCCCATAGACTCAACACTGCACCATAGACTCCACACTACCCATAGACTCAACACTGCCCATAGACTCAACACTGCACCATAGACTCAACACTGCACCATAGACTCAACACTGCACCATAGACTCAACACTGCCCATAGACTCAACACTGCACCATAGACTCAACACTGCACCATAGACTCAACACTGCCCATAGACTCAACACTGCCCATAGACTCAACACTGCACCATAGACTCAACACTGCACCATAGACTCAACACTGCACCATAGACTCAACACTGCCCATAGACTCAACACTGCCCAAAAACTCAACACTGTCCATAGACTCAACACTGCCCATAGACTCAACACTGCACCATAGATTCAACACTGCCCCATAGACTCAACACTGCACCATAGACTCAACACTGCCCATAGACTCAACACTGCCCAAAAACTCAACACTGTCCATAGACTCAACACTGGCCATAGACTCAACACTGCACCATAGATTCAAAACTGCCCACAGACTCAACACTGCACCATAGACTCAACACTGCCCATAGACTCAACACTGCACCATAGACTCAACACTGTACCATAGACTCAACACTGCACCATAGACTCAACACTGTTCATCGACTCAACACTGCCCATGGACTCAACACTGCACCATAGACTCAACACTGCCCATAGACTCAACACTGCACCATAGACTCAACACTGTTCATCGACTCAACACCGCACCATAGACTCAACACTGCCCATAGACTCAACTCTGCACCATAGACTCAACACCGCCCATAGACTCAACACTGCACCATAGACTCAACACTGCCCATAGACTCAACACTGCCCATAGACTCAACACTGCACCATAGATTCAACACTGCACCATAGACTCAACACTGCACCATAGACTCAACACTGCCCATAGACTCAACACTGCCCAAAAACTCAACACTGTCCATAGACTCAACACTGCACCATAGATTCAACACTGCCCATAAACTCAACACTGCACCATAGACTCAACACTGCCCATAGACTCAACACTGCACCATAGACTCAACACTGCACCATAGACTCAACACTGCACCATAGACTCAACACTGCACCATAGATTCAACACTGTTCATCGACTCAACACTGCCCATGGACTCAACACTGCACCATAGACTCAACACTGCCCATAGACTCAACACTGCACCATAGACTCAACACTGTTCATCGACTCAACACCGCACCATAGACTCAACACTGCCCATAGACTCAACTCTGCACCATAGACTCAACACTGCTCATAGACTCAACACTGCACCATAGACTCAACACTGCACCATAGACTCAACACTGGCCATAGACTCAACACTGCACCATAGACTCAACACTGCCCATAGACTCAACACTGCCCATAGACTCAACACTGCCCATAGACTCAACACTGCCCATAGACTAAACACTGCCCATAGACTCAACACTGCCCAAAGAACTCAACACTACCCATAGACTCAACACTACCCATAGACTCAACACTGCCCAAAGAACTCAACACTACCCATAGACTCAACACTACCCATCGACTCAACACTGGCCATAGACTCAACACTTCCCATAAACTCAAAACTACCCATAGACTCAACACTACTCATAGACTCAACACTACCCATAGACTCAACACTGCACCATAGACTCAACACTACCCATTGACTCAACACTACCCATAGACTCAACACTGCCCATAGACTCAACACTACCCATAGACTCAACACTGCCCATAGACTCAACACTGCCCATAGACTCAACACTGCACCATAGACTCATCACTAACCCTGTACATGAAGGCAGCCCCCCTCCTTAACCTCCTTCCGTTCCTCTCTTAATGCCTCACCACCTATTCTCGATCGCCCATTCTCTTATTTTTCCCTCCCCTCGCCCCTCCACTCTGTCCCGTCCCTCCCCTGTAGCCCTCTCGTGACCTCCCTTGCACCGCCCTTGCCGTACAAATCACCATTTCATTATTTATGTCCTTATAATGAAACTCTCTTATAGAGAGCCCCTTGAGCTACGGCGTGCTCTTTGAATATAAAACAACATGTGATGCCCGACTCTTCATTCGCCCTGCGTCGATTTCGCGGGGCACCTCCGGCTCTGGGGAGTTCCTCGCAGCAGTGAAAATCCACCTCCTCACCTGACGTGGGCGACGGTGACTCGGCGTGGTGCTCCCCCTCCCCCTCCTCCTCCTCCTCCGTGGCGGCCGCGGCTCGGCACTCGGCGTGTCGCGGGGAGTCCGGCGGCGCGGGGCTGCTGGTGCCGCTGGCGTAGACGGAGTCGGCGTCGCTGCTCGTGCCGGCGCCCGCCGCCCCCTCCTCCTCCTCGCCCCCCCCCACGGGACTGCAGCTCCCCCCGCTCTCCCCGAAGCTCCCGCAGTCGCTTCCGCTCCGCTGCTGCCGGCGGTGGCGACGCTGCTGATTCCGGTGTCGCGTTGGCCGGGAGCGGGCACCGAGCGGCTCGTGGCATCGCGAGTTTCGCCGGCGGTCTCCGCGGCGAGCCTCGTGCCACGCGGGGGATTTGAAGCCGATTCCGAATCCTCTGCCGCCGGTCCTCCCGTCCGCTCCGCCGCCGCCGCCGCCGCCGTCGTCGCCGGCCCCCGCGCCGGCCGGGAGTTCCTCGCCCTCCGACCCGGCCCGCGAGCCGCGCCGTTTGGGCCGCGGGCTCTCGTCCGAGTCGCGCTCCCTCTTCCTCGCCCTGCCGTCCACGTCCCCGCGGTCCGGCTGCCCCCCTCCTCCCGCGCCGCCGCCCACGCCGCCGTCCGGCGCGTTCTCGCGGAAGCGCGTCTCGGCCGCGGCGCCCCTCGCGTGCGGCCGCCACGCCTGGTAGCTCTCGGCGGGCTCCGACTCGACGGCGCGGGCACACGACGCCGCCTCGCGCCGCCCGGCTCCGTCGCTCGCCGACGGCGGCGCCAGCTCCAGGCTCCCCAGGAACGACCTCTTGGCCGCGTGCTCCGCTTGCAGCCCGGGCTGCTGCTGCCGCTGCTGCCGCGGTCGCCGCCGCTCCTCCTCCTCCTCGTCGTCCTCCTGGCGGACGCGTTCCACCGCCGTCGCCATCGCCATCATCTCGTCGGAGCGCGCGTGCAGCTTGCGGTGGCGCGCCAGGCTGGCGCGGTCTGGGAAGAGGAAGCCGCAGGTGGCGCACGTCTCGTAGGGCGACGCTCGCGCTCGCGCCGTCGCGCCGTCCTGCGCCGCGTCGCTGGTCGCGGCCGGCGGACCGTCCGGCGTCGACGACGACGGCGGGGGCTGCGGCGCCGCCGCCGGTCGCTGCCGGCGAACGGCGACCGCGAGCGGCGAGCAGCCCTTGGCGGTTGAGGAGTTCGCGGCGGAGGCGGAAGCGCCGATGATCTTGGCGAGCTTGCTGGCGTTGTTGGTGTGCACCTTCATGTGGTTCTTAAGGAACCAGGGCTCCTTGAAGCGGCGCCCGCACACGGTGCAGGCGTGGTCCAGCGAGCCCTTGTGCTTGCGCATGTGCGCCTTGAGGAACCACACCTGAGCGAACGTCTGGCCGCACTCCTCGCAGCGCACCTCGCTCGCCGCCGACGCCGCCGCCGCCGCGGCGACGCCGGCGCCGCTCGCCGGCGCGGCCATCGCGGCCGGCGCCACGGTCGCCGCGGCCGCGACGGCTTCGGCCGTCGCGGCCGAAGCCGGCGCCAGCGCGGAGGTTTCCACGCTGGCGCAGTGGGCGCCGTCCACGTGGCGCGCCAGCTCGTCCTGGCGGGCGGCCGCAAACTGGCAGAGCGAGCAGCGGTAGGGCTTGTGCAGGATGCCGATGTGGCGCTCCAGCTCGGCGCGCTTCCGGAACTTGCCCTTGCAGAAGGAGCAGCGGTGGCCCGCGGGCGCGGCGGCGGCGGCGACGGCGGCGGCGGCGCCTTCCTCCCCCCGCTCGGCCGCGGTGCCGTCGCCCTCGCCCGGCACTTGCTCCGCATCGCCCGCGGCCACGGAGGGGGCGCCGGCGCCGCCCCTGAGCTGCAGGTCCCTGAGCACCGCCCTCTCCTCCAGCTCCATGAGCAGGCGGCTGCCATCGCCGCCCTCCGCCTTGCACAGGAGAGGCGACCCGCCCGGCGGGCCGGCGCCACCGCCGCGGGCGCCGGCAAAGACGCCGGGGGCGGAAGGGCCGGCGGCCGCGTCGGCCGCGCCCGCCCGCGTGTGCGTGCGCATGTGGATCTTGAGGTTGCCCTTCTGCGCTGCGCGGTGGTCGCAGTAGGGGCACTTGAAGGGCTTCTCGCCCGTGTGCGTGCGCATGTGCAGCGACAGCACGCTGTTGAAGCGGAACCGCTTGCCGCAGATCCGGCACGGGTATTTCCGGGCCTTCTTCGGGTCTTCGGCGGCAGGCGCCGATTCCGCCCTCGCGTCTCCGCCAGCGCCACCTCCGACGATGCCGCCGCCACCGCCGAGCTGGTGATGTTGATGCTGCTGCTGCTGATGATGATGTTGCTGCTGCTGTTGCTGCTGCTGGTGGTGGTGGTGGTGCAAGGATCTCATCTGACCCTCCTCGAAGTGCAGTGCCAGCGGGAGCATTCCCAGGGAGAGCTTTCCGGCCATGATGGAGCCGGCGTGGCTGGCGCCGCCCGTCCCGCCGACGGCGTCGCGTTTGGCGAGGCTGCCCCGAACTTCCAGCCACGACCTGGGGGCCTCCCTCTCCTCCATCCGCGACTCTCCTCCACGCAGACCCTCGCCTGCACGTGCACAAGCCCAGCGTCAGCCATCACATCTCCCAATCATCGTTGTGGTGGTTGTCATGGTGGTGATTTACGAGATGGTGGTTGTCGTGATTGTGGTTGTCGCGGTGGTGATGTTGTGGCCAGGAGTGATGCTGGCCACCCACTCAGGTTGTGTGCTGTGCCCGCTAACAGCACTTGCCCAAAAAGTATGTTGTGGCTATACAGGGGATCTTTGTGTATGAGATTGTTTGTGTCTTTGAGAGTGTATTTGTGTATGTATGAGAGTGTGAGTATGTGTATGAGTGTGTGCGTCTATGACATTGTATGTGTTTTGAGAGTGTGAGTGTGTGTATGAGATTGTATGTCTTTGAGAGTGTATGTGTGTGTATGAGTCTCAGTGTGTGTGGATAAGAGTATGTGTGTGTGTATGAGTGTCAGCGTGTGTGTATAAGAGTGTGTGTGTGTATGAGTGTCAGTGTGTGTATAAGAGTGTGCGTGTGTGTGTATAAGAGTGTGGGTGTGTATAAGAGTGTGTGTGTGTGTATAAGAGTGTGTGTGTGTATAAGAATGTGAGTGTGTGTATGAGTGTGTGTGTGTATGAGTCTCAGTGTGTGTGTATAAGAGTGTGTGTGTGTATAAGAATGTGAGTGTGTGTATGAGTGTGTGTGTGTATGAGTCTCAGTGTGTGTGTATAAGAGTGTGTGTGTGTAGAAGAATGTGAGTGTGTGTATGAGTGTGTGTATGAGTGTCAGTGTGTGTGTGTATAAGAGAGTGTGTGTGTATAAGAGTGTGTTTCTTCGTGCTTTTGGAGTCCCTGACCCCCTGCTCACGATCATTAAGGACCTTCATGATGGTAAGCGGGCCCGGGTAAAACTACGTGGCCGGGAGTCAGAACCATTCCCTGTACACCTTGGGGTGCGACAGGGATGTCCTCTGGCTCCCACATTATTTAACATCTATTTTGACCACGTAGTTCGTGAAGCCTTCAATAGCTGTACCAGGCGAATCTCCATTTGGTACAGATATAATGGGAGGCTGATCGATGCCGGGTGTGGTCAAGGGATGGCTCCCTATTGCTCAACCACGTTATATTTGCCGATGATTTGGTAATAGCTGCTCATTCAGAGGAGGAGTTGGAGACGCTGCTGCTGAGACTGGAGCGTGCCACGAAGAGATGGGGCCTTACCATCAGCCCCACCAAAACTAAGCACCTGCCTGGGTATTTTGTACCATCGGTGATGGGGCAGTTGTGGAGAGAGTGGAGAGTTTCCCATACCTGGGCAGTGTGCTTATGACCGGCTCCAGTTTAACAGCAGAGGTCTCATTTCGAATCAGTCGAGCGGCAATATTTTTTCATCGGTTGCGTAACGCTGTGTGGAAGCTACCTGGTCTGTCGCTCCGCACTATGCTTCAGGTCTTCTCGGCCACGGTCATTCCCTCCCTTCTCTACGCTTGCAAAACGTGGACCCCCTTAATGGAACATCTTCGCTGGTTAGAAACATTTAGGCTAGCCTGCCTACGATCCATCCTGGGTTTAACCAGGCTGGATTGTGTGAGGAGCTCACAAATCCTTGAAAGATCTGGGCAAGGTCCCATCGGTGAGCTCCTCCAGCAGGCAAGGCTGCGTTGGCTGGGTCATGTAGCCCGCATGCCCAGCCACCACATCCCGAAACAGCTTTTGTTCGGCCGGATCGAGGGGGCAAAACGGGCGCGGCACGGGCTAGAGAAGAGATGGAGTGATGTGGTACAGGAAGACGTGGAGCTGAATGGACTTTCCGATGACTGGTACCAGCGGTGTCAAGATCGGCCTCTGTGGAGGAGGCTCGTGAAGGACGCTACTGGGCAGTTGGAGGCAGTCGCCCTCCAACAACAACGGAGGGCGGAGGAGTGACACTCACAACAACGAGCGGAGCGCCGGGTGGCTAAAGCACAGCAGGTTGCCACAGTAGGGGGCACAGGTGGTGCATCAGCCAGTCATCTCAGTCATCTCAGTCAGTCGACCCGTGGCACCTGGGTCTGCCCCGTGACCTGCCAGCGGGCGTTCGACACTTCACGTGGCCTCAAGGTTCGCGGTTTGAACTCCTGCCTGACCACCCTGGTTAATATTACCGCAGTGTGTTCTAAGCGCGATGATGATGATGATGTTAACAATAATAATTCAACTACTCGCTATCTGCCGCATCATAGAGGGCATTAAAGATCCCGCTAGAGACGTCCTTCGCAAGAGTTGGCCAACGTATCTAGCTTGTTTGAAAAACGACACCGCGAATTTCTCAAGTGGGACAAGGCGAAGATCCCCCCCCCCCCCATTGCCTTATCAGACTGTAGGGGGCATGTGCTGTTAGCGAGTAGCACCTATGAAGGCCGTCCATCGTGCTCCCCTTCATAGGTGCTACTCGCTAACAGCACTTGCCTCGACAGTCTATTAAAGCTATAGGGGGAATGTTCGTCTTTGTGTGTGCGAGGGCATGAGGAAAATTGGCCAGACATCCCGATGCTGCAGGATCCTCCTCGCAACGAATCCCCAGACTCAGCGAGGTTTTCATGGGTACATGATTTGCTTTATTATTTTTTCATTTACCTGTGCCTCTCACACCTGTCAGAGACCGACTTGAGACTCCAATTGGGGGGGCGGTGGGGGGCGACACGGTCACGTGATTTGCAGAAGGGAGCCTCTTGGCTTCAGGAGCTCACGTTTTCAATTAACATCAACTCTTACCTCGTGTAGCCTCTGTGAGCAAATCCCGCAGGCTCCGAACATCTGTTCACGACGTGACATGGCCGTTACTCGTGGCTTGTTCAGTGGATGAGCGAACGGATGGATGGATGGATGAGTGGGTAAGTTAGTAGTTGGGTGAGTGATTGATAGTGATTGAGTGGATGAGTGAGTTGGTGATTGAGCGTATGAGTGAGTTGGTGAGCGAGTGAGTGAGCTAGAAAGTGGATAGGTGAGTAAGTTGATCAGTGAGTGAGTGGGTGAGTGTGTGGATGGGTGGATGCGTGAGTGAGTGGGTGAGTGACTGAGCTGATGAGGGAGTTGGCGAGCTATTGAGTGAGTGAGCTCGTGAGTGTATGGGTGAGTAGTTTGTCAGTGAGTGGATGGGTGGGCGAATGAGTGAGTGACCTGCTGAGTGTGTGAGTGAGTGAGCAAGTTATTCGATATGTGACTGAGTTGAACAGTGGATTGGTGAGTGTGAGTGAGTTTATCAGCGAGTGGGTGGATGGATTCGTGAGTTAGTTAATGAGTGAGTTGATGGGTGGATACGTGAGTGGGTGAGTGCGTAGCGGTGGCGGGGGGTGGATGTGTGGGGGCGAATGTGTGGGAGTGGTTGTTGGGGGAGTGAGTGACAGGTGTGCATCATAAGGATGATATTAATGATCGATGATCGATGCAGGAAAGGGGGGGGGGGGCGTTGCGGTGGCGGGGGGGATGTGGGTGGAGGGTGATGGTGTGGGGGGGTCATAGGTCAAACCGAAGTGAGGTCGCACGTGGTGATGATTCCGATACCGCTCACTCAGGAGCTGCGCGCCCAGCGGCGGGGACGACTCAGGCATCACGTGGCTCACCCCGACGCCGGCGCTCACCGACTTCATGACTGGCACGTGGAGAGAGACGGGAGGGGGTGGGGTGAGAGACAGCAGAGAGACAGAGAGGAGACAGAGGGAGACATAGAGACAGAGAGAGACATGGAGACAGAGAGACAGGAGACAGAGAGGAGACAGGGAGAGAGAGCAGAGAGACAGAGAGGAGACAGAGACACATGGAGGCAGAGAAAGAGAGATAGGCGGGGGTAGGAGAACGCGCGTGAATGAGTTAGTGAGTGAATGGGTGAATGCATGAGTGAGTGAGGAGGTGAGTTAGTGAATGGGTGAGTGAATGGGTGAGCGAATTGTTGATGGAGTGAGTGGGTGAGTGAGCGAGTGAATGGGTGAGTGAGTGGGTTGGTGAGTGAGTGAGTAGGTTGGTGAGTAAGTCATCTTCCAAGACCCGGAATCGAACCGAACTGGCCGGATTTAACAATGTAATAGTCGACGTTTCGGGCAGAGCGCCTTAAACGGCTGTCATCGCATCAACAACAACAAACAACAACGAACACACCAACAACAGGCACAACAACGAACACAACAACAACAGACACATCAACAATGCTACGACCCCGACTGTGCTTCATTCTGCGTAATTGAGGCGTAACCATGGCGCTCATTTTATATATTTGTCTAATTAAAATCTCATGCTCATAATTAGCCAATATATCTTCAACACGGGGGGCGGGGGGGATAGCGCAAGGGGCTGGCTGAGGGAAGGGGATGATTGGGGGGGGGGGGAACCAGCGTAGTGAAGTATGGTCAAACAAACCTCTATTACCTCCCTGCCACATCCCCCCCCCGGCCCCCGTGTATGAACGCCCGTTGAGATGAGAGAGATGCAGACACGAGATTAATAGATGTGGTGATATGAGAGACACAGAGAGAGAGAGGAGAGATGACGACAAGAGACATATACAGCCCCAAATGAGAAAGAAGTCGCCACTGATGTTAGCCCGTGGTCGAGAATCGAACTCAAAGTTACAGGGGAGGGGGGGAGGTCATAGCGCGCTGCGCTAACCACTGCGCCACCGCTCCTCCCGGAGCTATGAGTTCATTAGATAAAGACGTGAACACCCATTACGCACATTCGTCCGGGCTAATTCCTCCGACATATCCTGGGGCTGGTAACCCTCCCCCCATCACCCCTCACCCCCCACCACCATCATCATCATACGCTCGACACGAGCCTCTAACCGTGTTACCTCGACTCTGGGAAGAGAGCCAGTCTCTAGTTAATGTAGACAGTATGTGTCCGCGTGTGTGCCCGTGTGTGTGTATGTGTGTGCGTGTGTGTGCGTGTGTGCGTGTGTGTGTGTGTTCGTGTGTGCGTGTGTGTGTGTTCGTGTGTGTGTATGTGTGTGTGTGTGCGTGTGTGTACGTCCGTGTCGACCCGTGGCACCTGGGTCTGCCCCGTGACCTCCTGCCAGCGGGCGTTCGACACTTCACGTGGCCTCAGGGTGCACATAGCCTGGCACAAGCGTCGTGGTGACGTCACCGCCACTTAGTGGCGAATGGCGGTTGTTGTTGTTGTTGTGTGCGTGTGTGTGTGCGCGTTCGTGTGTGTGTGCGTGTGTGCGTGTGTGTGTGTGTTCGTGTGTGCGTGTGTGTGTGTTCGTGTGTGTGTATGTGTGTGTGTGCGTGTGTGTGCGTGTGTGTGTGTGCGTGTGTGTGTGTGCGTGTGTGTGCGCGTTCGTGTGTGTGTGCGTGTGTGCCCGTGTGTGTGTATGTGTGTGTGCGTGTGTGTGTATGTGTGTGTGTGTGCGTTCGTGTGTGTGTGCGTGTGTGTGTGTGCGTGTGTGTGCGTGTGTGTGTGTGTGTGCGTGTGTGTGTGTGTATGTGTGTGTGTATGTGTGTGTGTGTGCGTGTGTGTACGTCCGTGTGCCCGCGTGTGTGTGCGTGCGTGTGCCCGCGTGTGTGTGTATGTGTGCGTGTGTGTGTGTGCGCGCCTCTCTCTCTCTCTGCCGGTCTCTCTGGGGAGCGGTAGCGTAGTGGTGAGCGCACTGCGCCACCCAACACCGGTCACGACCCGAGCTCGATCCCCGCTCACGGCCACCAATAAGCAGTGATCGATGACTATTATCTCAGCCTTAAACGGGTATTCGGTGCTGCATGGGGAGACAAAGGCGACCGGGCGGGGGTGGTGGTTATGGCAACATTCCCACTCCTCCGGACCCCCCCTCCTCCTCCCTATCAACCCCCCCCCCCCCCCGGTCAACTCGGCCTTTAAATTAACACGTGGTGCATTGTGTAAACATCATCAGCACGGGGGGGAGGGGGACAACGGCGTCACCCCCCCCCCCCCCCCCCCTCGTGTGCCGTTTCGGCTTTCGTAGGCGCTCCCATGCTCTCACAGCACTTGCCCCCACCCCCTACAGCCTTGTCAAGGCCTGTACGGGTCGGGTCGAGTTGGGGGAGGGGGCCTTTGTCAGAGAGAATCGACACGGCAAGGGGAGGCGACACCACCGTGCTCGTGCACGGCCGGGGCTGTTTGGTAGTTGGCGACGAAGGGGAATTAAATTTGAGCCCAGCAAAATGCGTTTTGGCAAATGTTGGGAAATTCACTCGAGAGGCGATGCACACCAATATTACAAACGCGTTGTGAGCTGAGCAGACCTAAGGGGAAGGCCCTGGATAGGCTCAGATTCTCCAGAAACTGATGTCAGCCGCGAGCGGGGATCGAACTCGGGATCACGGACGGGTTGGCCGTTCGCGCTGTGGCCGCCGCTCGCCACAAGCATTCGGCCAAACAGCAGGGCCGCTAGGGCATGCGGGCTCCATGTCCCTGCCAGTGCAGCCTCGCCTGCCAGCGCAGCTCACCGATGGGGCAGTGCACGGACCGTTCAAGGGATCTGCGAGCTCCTCGCACATTTCCAATTGGGTTAAAGTCGGGCCCGATGAACCGGGGATTAATTTAAGGCTGGGTCAAGCTAGGGGAGGCCCAAGACCAGGTTTCAGCTATTCGTCACCGATGTTGGCCGTGAGCGGGAATCGAACTTGGTTCGCCGGGTTTCGCGACACGGTGCACGAACCACTGCACCACCGCTCACCACTGCACAAATCACAAACAAAGACAAAGATCCCCCGTACAGACTTAACAGACGGTAGCGGCAAGTGCTATTAGCGAGCAGCAGCGCCTATGAAGCCAGGCACGGCACACGGGGGGGGGGGGGGGGGGAGGGGTGGCCAGCACCACGCCCGGCCACCTTTGTCTCCCTCGTGGCGATGTTTACACAATAGTGCACCGAGTACTATATTGAGGCTGTGTCGACCTATGGGAGGCCCAAGACCGGTTCTATATACAGTGCCGTATATATAAATGTACGTAGGAACCAGTGGCCTATTCAGCCCACCCTCATTCGCTCACACTGGGAGGGCAATAGGACGAATTCCTGATGGAACATAAATCTGATAACATCCACACCCCCCCCCCTTCCCTTATCCCCCCCCACTAGCACCACTCCTCTTACCCCCCCCCCACCCTACTCGCCTTACCCCCTCCCCCCCACACACACAACCTCAACCCCACAACCAAGTTTATTCCCCCCCCGAGGAGATGCGCTGCTTATAACATGATCTGGGATGCAGATGGACGGGGGCAATTTAAAGCGGATTTTTGTTTGTTTGAGAGAGAGCGAGAGAGCGAGAGAGAGCGAGAGAGAGAGCGAGAGAGAGAGCGAGAGAGAGAGCGCGACTAAAATTCGAAACAGATGCAGCGGGCATTGTCACAGCTAAGTGAATTTTCACCCAGGCCACACAATGCACGCCTTTCAGCCAGACGCAGCCGTTGCAGCGAACGGACGCGGAATAGGAGCCTATAGAACTACCCTCGAGCAAGTCTGCAGCAGGGGCGGCGGCAAGCGGTGGCGGGGACTAATCGGGACCCCCTCCTTTACACAAAGACAAAGATACCCCGTATAGCCTTTAACAGACCGTCGGGGCAAGTGCTGTGTTAAGGGAGCCAGCACCCGATGAAGGCCGGTAAGGGAATACGAGGGGTGGCGGGGGGGGGGGGGTGAAGGGGCGGAGGCGAGGGGTGGCCAGAACCACGCCCGCTCGGCCGCCTTTGTCTCGACAAATGCTGACGTGTGATACAGCACACGCCGCGTCGGGTCCTCATTTAAGGTTGAGTCGACCTGAGGGAGACCTACCCAGCAGCAGTCGTTGATATTCGGCATCGATGTTGGTGGCTGCTATGAGAGGGAGTCGAACTCGTGCTCGCAGTGGTCAGCTCGGCACCCAGCGCGCTAACCACTGCGCCACCGCTCCCACACCCCACTACACACAATCTACACACACACACACGCGCGCGCGCGGGACACACACGCGCACGCACTGCTGGCAATTACGCGATCTTTCCAGCGTTCGAGTTTTGGATAATAATGCGCGCACTTGTCTCTGAACAGGCGCACGCATGTGGCTATAAAGTCGACTGGCGGCCTCGCAAGCATAATGAGAGCAGTGATTGGAGAGAAGGGAAATTGCCGGAGGAAATGCGAGACCCAGAGAGAGGAGAGAGAGGAGAGAGAGGAGAGTGAGATGAGTGAGATGAGTGCGTGACCAATAAAGAGTGGCAGAAGATGACATTCTCAAGCGTTCCACCCGCTTCCAAGAGACACTTCTTGCACGGCCCTTTGCGTCTCCTCACTGCTGGAATGGGTGGGGAGTTCTCAACTCGAACCGCGGCAGTTACGGGTCGGTGGAGATGCATTCGCTGCGCAGCGGCTATCAACGAGAAAAAAAAGTCGACACGCTCCGTGCCAACGACAGCACCACGTGCGTGCGTGCGTCCGTGTGTGGCCTGAAAATAACTCAATAACAATCGGCGACGTTTTAGATGATGGCCCTTCTTCTTCTTCATAGAAGGGTAATTGCCCGAAACGTCATTTTATCGAAAGACCGGTGTCTGCTACATCGGTTAAGCGCCCTGGGCTCGCCATGAGAAGGTGGTATGGCAACCAGGACTCATTTCCGTATGTTTCCATCTGTACGGTGATAGTGTTGCCCCGGG